AAATCCTCAGGGCAAAGTAATCATTAAAAAACGCTTGCTTTTAAAACAAGTTTTATATTTTAAAAGGTAAACTCACCTGAGGTCCCTTCCATGGGGTCATGGTCTTGCATACTGGCTTGGGAGGGTACTTCAGTCAGGCTGAGAAAAAGATCCTGGCTGTTGGGGAGAACGGAGTGCTGGGTGCTCTCTGCAAGCTCGTCCTCCTCCTCCTCCTCCTCCTCCTCCTCTTCCCCGTCCGCAGAATCCTCAGGTGTAGCTGATGAGATTATCCCCGCCTCAGAATCCATGGTCAGAGGTGGGGTAGTGGTGGCGGCCCCCCCTAGAACTGCGTGCAGCTTGTCGTAGAAGCGGCATGTCCGCGGCTCTGACCCGGAGCGACCGTTTGCCTCCTTTGTTTTTTGATAGACTTGTCTGAGCCCCTTGACTTTCACGCGGCACTGATCTGAGTCCCTATTGTGGCCTCTCTCCATCATGCCCTTGGAGATTTTTTCAAAAGTTTTTGCATTTCGTCTTTTTGAACGAAGTTCTGCTAGCACTGAATTCTCTCCCCATATAGCGATCAGATCCAGTACCTCCCGTACAGTCCATGCTGGTGCTCTTTTTTGATTATCGGCCTGCATGGTTACCTGTGCTGATGAGCTATCTGTGGTCACCTGTGCTCTCCACGCTGGGCAAACAGGAAATGAAATTCAAATGTTCGCGGGGCTCTTCCTGTCTACCTGACCAGTGCATCCGAGTTCAGATTGCTGTCCAGAGCGGTCACAATGGTGCACTGTGGGATAGCTCCCGGAGGCCAATACCATCGAATTGCGGCCACACTAACCCTAATTCGAAATGATAAAATCGATTTTGGCGCTACTCTGCTCGTCGGGGTGGAGTACAGAAATCGATTTAAAGAGACCTTTATTTAGAATTAAATGACTTCGTTGTGTGGACGGGTGCAGGGTTAATTCGATATAACGCTGCTAAATCCGAATTAAAGTCGTAGTGTAGACCAGGCCTTAGGGAGCCTGTCTGCAGACCCCCTGTTGCAGCCATGGGGCTTCAGGTGCCAACACCCGGCTCTAGACGCAGGATTTCAGGCACTGACCCCCAGCTCTGGCCACGCGGCCCTGGCCTTCAGTCACAGGTCTTCAGGCTCCAACCTCTGTCTGCGCAGCTGCAGACTCCGATCCCCGGCTCTCGCCACATGGCACCAACCTCCAACCCCAGCGGCAGCCACAGGCCTCAGGCGCAGATCCCTGGCAGCACACTCTGACTCCCAGCCGTAGTCGCTAACCCTGGGCTCCAGTGGTTGCCGGCCCTGGGTGCAGGCCCTGGGTTCAGATCCCCGGCCTTGGGCTCCGGCGGTTTGCTGGCTCTGGATGTTGACCCCTAGCCCTGGCCGCATGGCAGCAGGTATGGACCCCAGGCGCCAACCCCAGCAGTGGCTGGAGGCTCCAGGGACCAACCCCGGCCACGCGCTCTTACCCCCAGCCCTGGTTGCTGACCCCAGCCACTGCGTCTGGATGTCAACCCTGGGCTCCGGCGGGTGCTGGCCACGGGCGCCGATCCCCAGCCTTGATCACGCGGCAGCGGGCACCAACCCCGGGCTCTGGCAGGTGCTGGCCCTAGATGCTGATGCCAACCCCTTGCCCCAGTCGTGTGGCAGCGGGCATGGACCTCAAATGCTGAGCCTGGGTGCCGACCCCTGGCCCCGGTCTCGCGGCAGCAGGTGCTGGCTCCGGTGCTGACCCCCCGATCCTCAGCCCTGACCGCACAGCAGCGGCCGCCAACCCTCACCCCCAAGCACGCATTGGCGGGCCCCCTCCCATCCATCGCCTCTGACCTCCGCAGCCTCCCCCAGCCCCGCATCCATCCTCCCTGCCCCCCCCCCCTTAATTTGCCAGGACTTGCTGTGAAAAATGATATTAACAAACATACAAATATCACTTTTCACAGCATTATATTTATTACTGAGTCCGCAAAAAAGCCATACATAAATTACAGTGAGTTGGACATGTATATGTGCATATTTATTTGTTTTTCCTAAAGTTAATTAAGTGTTTTAGGAAAAAGTGTGAGTGGGGCCACCAGTAAGAGTTGGTGGCCACACTGTGAGGCCACCAAAAAATGTGTTGTGAGAACCCCTGTGAAAAAGAGCCTTTGAGTATCAGACATGAACCCCCAGGTGGTAATTTCTGAGGGTATGCCAGAATAATATGATCATGCCTTTGATTTATGGGAGCACCCAAGTGCTGCCAACAGGATGGGAACCGGATGGCTGGAGTGATAAAGAGAGACGAGGAGGGGTGGGTGGGTTACATTCGAAAGGGAGGCAGATGGCTGGTCTGGGCGGAGGGGTGGCAGGAACCGCGTGACTCACTCACTGGCAGCGTCTGCAGGGCGCAAAGCTCTTCGCCGGCCTCCTCGATGCCGCTGCTCGACCGCTCTGTGGCCGCGGCCGCCACCTGCCCGCCGCGTTGACTCGGCCCCCGGGCCCACCTGTCCCGGAGGAGGCGGAGGCTGCTGCGCAGGGCGGACTCCAGGCGGCCCCAGTGCCCGGCGTTGCCTGCTGCCATTGCCTCGCCCACCGGCTGCGGCCGAGAGAGCCCCCGCGGCGCTGCTCGCTCTCGGCAGGCGCTCGCTGCCAGGCCCCGGAGGCTCGGAGATCCCGGCCTCCAGCTCGCTGGCTGACTGTCCGGCCGGCAGGGAGCGGGCGTGGCGAGGGGAGCGCTACCGGGTCACCGAAAACCCACGCCTCGCCCCAGCCGCCTCTCAGCTGCGGTGCCGGGCTGCTCCGCACGGCGCTCCCGGTAGAGGCCCCCCCGGTGCCGGGGGCCCCACGCACCCCTGGCGTTCAGGGCAGGAGGAAACCCCGGCCTCCCGCGGTAGCACGGCAGCCAGCCCTGGGCTCAGCCCAGCCGGTGCAGCGTGTCTGGACCCATCCCTGGCGGGAGCCCTGCACCCACGGAACGATAATCGGACCCCAGCCGCAGCTCAGCTGCATGCATCCCTGGTGCAACGGTGAGAGCTGCTGCGCTGTTAACTAGGCTTAAGAATTGGAGCAGCTGGACGAGGCAGCCCTACAGGAGGAAAGGCTGGAACTGAGCTCAGGGCTTCTTTAGAAACAACCTCAAACCTGCTTCCCAGCACTGGAGAGGGCTTTTACCTGCGATCTGTACCAGGAGAGGGAGGATATATAGATTTTAACCACAGTACCTAAAGCTATAATAGACTCTCACTTTCACCTCTGATGTGGTAGTGAGTCATAGCTATAGATATGACAAAATCCCCCATAAACAAACAGTATTTCTCTGCTATCGTAGTTATCCATGACTGTAGAGCATCTGTGTTATCCTCAGCACTTTATACAACCAGCAGTTTTATAACTACTGAACCATTCAGTACCAAAAGTGAGCGTGTGTATGTACACATCCACCCTCTTCAAAATTTAATACTGAGAAGGCAGGCAGTTTGCCTGACTGGAGATTGTAAGTTGTTTGTAACCGAATTAATAGTAATTCTCCCCCATTGCTTTCAGAATTGTAGGGGTAAAATTTCCAAGAGCACAAGAAAAACAGTTACCCTACTGAGCTTTTAGTAGTGTTTTATCTCAGTTTAATGTTGACCTTTCTACTTGTGTTCTTCATATACTGCAACTTTCTTGTAAAGAATGGATAACAGCAACTGGTTAATTAAGCTAGCTATGGAATGTCTTGAAGTAGTCCAAGATTAGTTTTGCATTTGCCGTATTCCAGTCTTGTCCTTTTAAGAGTCCCTCACACACAGCTACATATTTCATTAACATATTTTCTCCTACTTCTCGGAAATCCAGCACTGCACTATGTAAGCTACAATACAGTTCAGTATTAGATTCAGAATCCATTTCATGGGTTCCAGGCTTTTCTTCTCCACAGTGCTTCAGTCCCCAGTAACACATTTCTCCAATATACATCATGGCCAGAACATGGGTATCACTAAATATACCTGCAAAAACAGTTTAGAATTCAAGACTCCAGGTGACATGACACCTATTTCCCCCCCTCTTATTTTAACAAATTAATAATCATTAACGTAGTGCTTTTCAATAGCTCTCAAGAATTTTACAAAAGGCAGTAAATATAATTATCCTCATTTTACAAAAGAATACAAGAAAGTACAGAGAAGTGAAGCAACTTGCACAAGGTCACCCAGTGGGCCAGTGGCAAAGCAGCAAAAAAAGACTCCAAGTCTAAGTCCTAATTCATTACTTTGTCCACTCTGTCTTCCAGTAGAAGCGGGGTTTTAATACTGACTTTGCCATGTACAATTTTCTGACAAATATCAGTGTTTATGGCAATGGTTTATAAAAATACAGAATGTCACTACAGAGGCAAAGGATTTTTTTATAATTCTGTAGGTAAACACAACTTTTCTGCACTTCCTCAGCAGCACCGTATTTAAAAAGCAGCTCCCCAGTAGTATTAGTAGCTTTAGTATTTGGACAGTGCCATACTGAAGATACCCAAGGCGTTTTACAAAGAAAAAACATTACTAAAGAAGTGAAGATAAAAAAAAAAAAAATAGTCCTATTAATTTTTCTTACTTTATAAAAAGTGAATTATATACTTATGACAAGGCTAGATTGAAAGCCCCAGTGATTGTCTTAATCCCAGCTCCAAAACACTTCCTATTTGAATTTGTTTAATTCATTTAACCAGCGGGTGCTTCAATTTTCATGATTTATATAAATGTACAGTGCCACCTCAAAAGAATTTGTTGAATAGTGACCCCCCCCCCGTTGTTTTTTTTAAACATTTGACTAAAATGTTATATACAGGTGGGTTGGGGGGTGAAGCTAAACTCAGTTTTTTTAAAGTACTTTAAGATCCTCAGATGAAAAGCATTAATAGCAATAGTGATATATATAGCCATAGAACAGGTACAGCACAGGCAGTGACAGTAAAAATGTCCCAACTCTACCTAATGTGACTCAACCCAGTTCTGGAAGTACTATCTCTAACACTGTGAACACAGTTAATCGACCAGGTCCATTTAATCCTAGGCATGACTGCAGAGACTGCCAGCAAGGTACCACTTAATACCACGTATAGTGGGTTTTGTGCTGTTGACACTTGCCTACTGAGAACTGGACAGATCATACAACACCGAACTGTCTTCAGATGCTAATAACTTTTGGGCACTGATGATCTGGACCTGAATTTGAACCAACGACCTAGATGTCAAAGGCTTTGTATCCCATAACTAGATCATTCAGCTGTCCATTTTCCTGAGATGAATTTATAGTTCAGCTAATTGTCTTATTTTCTCTCTTCCCTTCCCCCATATCCACAATTCAGAACAGGAAAAGAGGACAATTTATTGGGTCCACAAGTCTTGCCTGTTTCTATAATTTATTGTTCTTAAAAGGGGACAGAATTCGAATGTGAGTGAAGTTCAAATTATGTGGTAGAGGATCTTACAAAGGAGAGGGAACAGAAGAAGAACAATTTACCTTCACTGAGCAGTCTAGCTGTGTCTGTATCCTGAAATGAGACATCATTTAGCTGAGTAGGGTATCTAAACCTTAGCATCTTCAGTAAGTAATGGATTCCATCATTAAGACACTGAATGTAAATTACACAGAAAATAGAGAAGTGTTAGAACAGCAAACAACAAATTAGATCAACTGCAATGTAATCAATTCTAGTCAGAATTATTTTAAATTAAAATATTTCCCAAGTACTTACGTGAAGGAAAAACAATAAGATGAATATAATTTTGAAGGCAAAAGTCATTTTTTAATTTACAGAGAGTCACAAATCCATGAAATTAACTTTTTTCATCTTCCTGTGTTCAGGTATGCAACATAAGCCATATTAGATTGCTATATTTATGGTTTTAATTAAGACTACTTTAAAATTGCTATTTTAAGGAGATTATGTTTAAATTTAATTTGAGCTGAATTTTTAATGTACTAATTGGTAACATAACAGAAGTATTTTCAAGTAACTTTTCAAATGGCTGCTGAACAGATAAAATAATTTAACTTTTAAAATAGACAGTGTTGAAGGGCAAAATTTTCAAAAGTGCCTAAGTGATTTAGGAGCCTAAATCCTATTTTCAAGTGCGATATATGCATTTATGTCCTTAAGTTTCAAAAAATCAACAGGATTTGGTATCCTAAGGGTCTGTCTACATGGGAAAGTTATACCATTATAAATTAAAGTTTAAATTTCAACAATAGTTATTACATTTAAGAGCGCCTTTTTTATATTAAAAAAAAGCAAGAAAAAATCTTTGGAAGGGATTCAAGAAAACTGAAAAAGAATATCCACCAGGGGGTTTATATCAGTATAACTATATCTGTTTAACTATAGCAGCATAGCTGGTCAAATTTTCCCATGTAGACAAGTCCTAAGTCACTTAGGTGACTCTGAAAATTTTACTCCAAGTTTCCAACTGTGATCCAAACTGAGCCAGTCCAAATGACTGGAAGAGAAAACTGTGGATAGATTAAAAAAATCTAATGTATTTCGTGGCTGTTGTGATTTTGTCAACAACTCCAATCTAACTCAAAGCAAACAGCTTGTCTGAGGATCAGAGTTATCCCATGATCATCAGCTTGTTAGAATTACAACAAATTTTAAAATGTCTGCTTGTGAAGAAAAGGGGCTTTACCTTTTTAAACAAGTCAGTGTTTTCTGTTAGCCAGCATCCTCTCTCTTTTATAGTGTGACAATACATGTAGAGTAGAGCTCCTCGTCTCCAGGACAGACATTCCAACAACTCTGTACCAAGAACACCAATTAGCTGAAATAAAATTCAAAAGCTGAACCAAAACTGTTGTTTTAGCCCCAGGAAATCAAAGAAATACATGAGAACTGTGACGGGCACAGAGTTTATTGTTTTTAGGTTAAGCAGCCAAAAGGTCTCTTGAAACTAAGTGAGTTCTGGATCAGACTACAACTAGCAAGAACCACCACTGTGAGAGTCTAGTGAGCTGCTTTTAAAAATGGTCTGTGGACCATCATTCAAGAATCAGTGCTTATAGACAGATAAGATTGAGAACCTTTTAAAGAGACCTCAGAATATTTTGTGGTTTACCCATCAAAATTAAAAATAAGCGTCATTCTCTATTAAAACCCCCAACCATTTGAAATAAGGTCATTTGCCATAATTCAGTACTCACATCTTGATGCATGTTGCTTTCTTTAACTAGAACCTCTGGTTCTGAAAGAATACTGATAAGTTCTTTAACTCTCTGTAAGGAAGAATCTTCTGGAAAATCTTCATCTACAAGTTGGTTCTCCTCAAAATATGTGATGTCCAAGACTATCTATAAAAAGGGAAAACACATAAGGCATAAAAACATACTATAAACAAAACATTGAACAAATTCATTAAAAATTATATTTAGTAAAATATGAGCTTGTTAATATTATGATTTTAAAGTTAATTATTTTGTAATAACATTTAATTTAGAAAAACTCACTCTAGAGTTCACAAATCACAAAGTTAAAATTCTTACAATAATTTCAGTCTACATAATAGACACAAGACACAATGTTGTCCTCCTCTAACACTGGTGCAACTCCCATTAATTCTGGCTTGTCTCGGATCCAGAGCATAAGGTGACCTGAATTTTCTGAAAATGCTTGCAACCACCACAAAATACACTACAAAAACAACAAGGAGTCTGGTGGCAGCTTAAAGGCTAACAGATTTATTTGGGCATAAGCTTTTGTGGGTAAAAACCTCACTTCTTCGGGTACCCTACAGGTATCAAAGAACATTGAGGAATCTTTTCATGCTATGCCACTTTTTCTTTAATTTTAATTATAAATTTGACTGTTTCTTAAAGCATGTTTCATTTAAAAACCGTACCTGTGTATAAAGCTGCAAAAGATTTGAAGGATTTACAGTTTCTTTATCTTCTTTACAAAGATCTTTCAGCTTCTCCAGAGAAATGGCACCCTTCACTAAAAAAGCATCTGTAAGAGGATGGGCAGAAAAGACCTTAGAAAGACAGAAAAATGTCTGGCAATAACCTACAATCAGCCTCGGTGTCTTTCAACAGCCCGACTTGCCTGACTTTATCATTACACGTTTGCATCCATCATAACAATACCTGCAGTGACAGAAACACTGGCTCAGTAACAGGGAAAACCTACCCTCTAAAACGTTTAGTTTTAATTCTCTCAAACAGCCGAGTAGTAAAATACTGAAACAAGCCAGAGGCGCGTTTCCTTGACAGCCTACTGCTTGTGGACCAACGTCTGAACCCCCTATTTTTTACGTTCACAGTCTGGTGCTTTACGAAAAGGCTACACACTAGAAGTCTACTTCTATTTGAAAGCGGCTCTCTTCGGCCTAGAGGGGCCCCTGGCGCAGTGCCAGGCAGAGGCTCGGTGGGAACAAGTCTCCATGAGGAACCCGGCACAGAGCTCTTGCTAGGCTGCCCCATGGCACGGAGCTGCCGTCTCCGCAGGGCTCGGCTGTACATGGGGCAGGAGGCCAGAGACCGAGCGCCTTCACGCCAGCTGCCTCCAGCGGGCAGAGCCGGCGGCGCTGGGGTAACCCCCGCTCACCCTCTCCGCCCGCTCCTCTCAGCCGTTCCAGCCTCCGCCCCAGCCCCGGCAGCCGCTGGCGCAGCGAAACCACCACCCCAGCCATAGCAGCAACCACTACAACCGCCGCCCGGATCACGTGACTCAACCTGCCTTCTCACCTGACCTCAACGCCGACCCGCCGCCAAAATCACGTGACGCGCGGAGGGGGTCCCAGCGGGTGGACACGCATGCGCTGTCATGGGAGTGACGGGACCAGCCAACTAGGTGCGGGAGAGGAGGGAAACAGTCTCTGCGCATGCGCCATAGGGAGAGTGTATGTCATGGCGTCACTTTCAGTCTTCCCCCTTTGCGAGTCTCTTTGGTCGCTCTCTGGGCAGGGCGCCACATCCTGTGTGAGCGGGGGTTAACCCCTTGTTCTCCATCCCGCCGCTACCCTTCTTACCCACGGCAGGACTGATCCCTCTCGTTCCTTAGTCCCCCCCTTAGCAGCTGGGGTGGGGTCAAGTCGTTGCTAGGTGTATTCCACGTTCACCCCCAGAAGGGGCTGGCCCTAGGAGGTAGGGTTAAGGGTTGGGCCAGGGGTGGGTGTGAGTGGCAGAGCCATACCCTGCTTGGTAGAATTGTCTCGTTTCTCTGGGGTCAAAGGCAAAATGTTTCATAGTAAAACAGAAGTTGTCACCATTAGGCTTCAGAGTTAACACGTGAGTCCAAAGGAGGCAGCTCATGTCTCAGAGATGGCACAGCAGCTGGGTCACATTTGGAAAGTTTTTATTCACCAGAGGAGATAGAATGTAAACAAACAAAAATCCCTCAGAAAGTAACAGGGATGCTGAGAAGGTGGGTGAATATCTTCCACTGACTCTTACAATCCATACTTAAATACTGCTCTCCTTCCCACTATGCAGCTTCAAGGCCTTTGAGGAACATCTCCACTAGAATCAGTTAATTGTTTATAAATCAGGATGCAGTTCAGACCTGGTGTAAAATGGTTCTTGGCATTAAAATAATCGTAAGCAACATTGACTTAAATTGAAGGCAGAATGACTAAAAGTAAGAATTTTTCAGATTTTAAACTGAGCATTGCCCCAATTCCAACCGCTTCACTGCTGATTCCAAGGGATAACATTTTAATATTGGGGCCCACTTGATAAAACTGAAAATTAGATAAAAATAAATCTACATGTATACTTTTGGATACATGCTGCTGCTTTTCCATGTCTTGGTTCCTATCCAGCCTAAAATACACCTGCAGGTGATGACCCTCAGAAGCTCTGCAGAGGTTGCCTCCAACAACAAGCTGCTAGCACACCATAGATTGTTACCATCATGTTTCATTGGTATAACAACTGTATTTCTAAAAAAAACCCAACAACAACGAGGAGTCCTTGTGGCACCTTAGAGACTAACAAATTTATTTGGGCATAAGCTTTCATGGGCTAAAACCCATTTCATCAGATGCATAGAGTGAAAAATACAATAAGCAGAATATATATTACAGCACGTGAAAAGATGGGAGTTGCATACCAAGCCGGGGAGAGGGGCAGGGCTAACGAGCCAATTCAGTCAAAGTGGAAGTGGCCTATTCTCAACAGCTGACAAGAAGGGGTGAATATCAACAGTGGGGAAATTACTTTTTGTAGTGACCTAGCCACTCCCGGTCTTTATTCAGGCCTAATTTGATGGTGTCCAGTTTGCAAATTAATTCTAGTTTTGCAGTTTCTTGTTGAAGTCTGTTTTCTATGTTTTTTTGTTGTGCCTTTAACTATAATACAAGTATCCTAACATAAATTGATTTAGTACAAGGAGCTAAGGGATCATAGCACTCTATCCTTTTCTTCTAAATTGTATTAGCAAGATCAGTTTCTAGATGGCGTTAGAGACTTTGGTCCTCTTGAAGGAGAATACCAGCTCTAAAAAGGGAGTCCTGGAAGGTACCCTGAAAGTAGCAAAACTCACAGTCCCTCATTACAAGGGATACCCCTTATTTTTTATCTATGTACAGAAAGATTGGGAGTTGCTGAGTGCTGCAAAAAGCTTCAAGAAATATCCCCAGCAAATGTGAGTGTTGCTTATTAATTATTATTAAGAATAGTAATATCGGAGGAAGGTGAGGTGGGGGTGCTAAGAAAACAGTCCCTTATTTTTGAAATACAATTTTGGCAACCCTTGCTGGGGCAGAGGTAGCCTGTACTAGAGTAAGAAAATGCAGACCCTATTTCATTTGCTTGTTCAGCTGATTTACAACTCCCTACTCTGAAGCAGCATCTGTATCCTACAGGAGTTACGTAGCCCAGAAGGCAATGGATATCCTCTTATTGAGTTTTCTGTAAACTCTTTAGAATGAAATTTGCAAGAATCAGCTTTTGGAAGCACAGTTTTCCCTCTGAAGTATAGCAAAGCTGCTAGGAAGGCGGGATTGTCACTACATACAATGTTCAGGGAGAAAATACCACTTTTTATATCTGAAGTGGGTTATCTTTTAAATCATGTTTTTAAAATTTTGGGTTTAGAATTTGCATAAACAAGATAATGCACAGATTTATATTTTATGTCTAATATGGGATGAACTAACAGTGTTCTGTCTTTCTTTTTTTTTTTTTAAGTTCACATGTTTCAAGGAGCAGTTGAACTAAAACCATCATCTTACCTTGACATCAGAAAGGTCTACTTTCTAGAGCCTACTAATATGTTTATTTTATCAACCAATCAGTGCTCCATTAGGATATTTTTTAAAAAAGCAGAAATTTGATTTATTGTTATCTTAAAATCAGAAAACAGGCACTCCTCTCACAGACACCTTTTTTTTTACTGTTAATCATGTGCACTATCTGCTTTGCTTACAAATTCTGAATTTTAAATTCAAAACAAAACAAAAAAGCAAAATCTACAAGACAAACCCCTGTTAAGCCACTTTTGGAGGCCTGGGTACTTTGAAGTAACCTTTAATATTTTAATTGTGTGTGTATGTATTGACATTTATCTCTTTTATGTTAAGTTTTATAAATATGTTTTTAAACTATTTCCTCCCCAAAGTAAGGCCTGGTTACTCCATCTATAAACCACATCTAGAATACTAGTGGAGGTCAGCATTCAAGAAACAGGTATATTAATACCAGAATTTTCATGACATCATAGCCGTATGTGAGACCAGAGAATATTGTCTTTGTAATGAAATATAATAGTTTGTGTCTTGTACCTTTTAAGGCACCCCTCCATTATTCTGCTGAGGGAGCTCTTCAGGACCTCTTTCTGAGCGTAGGTAGTCAAATTTGGGATGGGGAGAAGAGAAAACCTGTGGAGGTGGTAAGAGATCTGCTACCATTTCTGATTTAGATCTTTTTCTTGGTTGTTTGTGCCCACATTTGTTGATTTTAACCCCAAATTGTGACTGTATTGTCTCAGTATCTTCCTACTGATCAGTGAACACCATCAACTCTCAATAGTGAATGAGATTACATCTAACCGTCCAGTGCTTAATTTGTGCCAGAGGTAAGCCCTGGCACCTCTAGGCTTGGCAGTTCATAGCCCCAGCACCTCTGGGTTTGCTGCATCAGTTTTTAATGTAAAAAACATTGCTTGAGCTCCAGCAGCTAATTGCTTGAGTACCAGCACCTCTTTCGTTAGAAATTAAGCACGGCATCTAACCTTTCAGAATGTGTATGGTAGCAATAAACATAGTTATTGCCCACAGCCATCATTTGTTTTGCCTTGTCTGACAAAGAGAACTGTACCTTTGCTTAGTCTGCAAGCCTGACTTTTGAGCACCATGCCAGCCTCTCAAACATTCCGGCCTGTTTGTACTGTGCCTTCTCTGAAAACTTGACACACACATCCATGTGTATTGAGACTTTATGTAAACCCTTACTTACTATGTCACAATGAAACCTGGCCTAAATGACCACTCAAGGGACTGACAGCTTTGATAGAAATGGTCATCTGATAAAGATGAGGCAAAATTATACTTGCTATTCTGCACATGGGAGGGAAATGGATTTGTGCCCATTTTTATTATATAAAAAGAGAGCCTGAAAGGTTTTCATTTAATTGCAGTGGGGTAGTTCTACTGGTGTTTTCATATTAAAAGTTCAAGTCTTGTCTATCCTGTTTTCCTGAAGGCCTGTATGGATAACTGGGAAACTAATAAGCTTATGACATAATAAATATAAAGCAAGTGACATCTGGTTAATTGAGAGGGGAAGTGATTTTAATCAAATTGCTAAAATTTTTGATTTGTTTGATTTTGCTTAGACCCATTTAATTCGAATTCACTACAAACATTTGGAAGAAAATATGTTGTTTAAAGACCTACCACAACTGCCCATTAATTTCAAGGCTTGGAAAGCTCACAGTCCAAACACTGTGAGCCCTCCAAGCAAACCTTTGAGAAAACCTGACTTCCTGATATTTCTAAGGCTTTTTATTAAAGGTGGAAAAAAGAGCTCATTTAAGATGGTTTAATAAAGAAGGAGATTGTTTTTTTTAATAATAGTTGTGTCCTATGAAGGTGTTACTGTTTGTGGGAATTAGATGACAGTTGTCTGTCCAGTATTTCCTGTTTACAAAACTGAGGATATAAATAGGGCAAGAAATGCACAGTGGCTTTATTTACTCTTTTTTTAAGACTGGCTGTTTTTCTGAATAGGTGGAAGAAAACACACATACCAGCATGTAAGTACCTGCGGTTGAGATTATAACAGGTCAGCTTTGCTTCTGCCATCAAATAGAAGAGCCAAAAATATGGCATTGCCACAATTGTATATTCCTGTCTCTCTTTACTTAGAGAGACTTTCGCCTAGTCTGTAAACTGAAAGGCTTTCACCACCAAATCATGTACTAAAGATTGGGCTTGTTTAGATTAGAGTTTTATATGCCAAAAGGGGTTCCTAGAAGTTGATTAGGAGAAGGAGGAACTGTCTATGCTCAGAAGATTGCTTCTTTCTGGTTTACTTTTTAATTGGGTTAGTTCCTTATTTACATGTTTGGCTTTTTGCTCTGTTGAATCAGAAAAATGGGAGTTAGGAAATATTTGGAATGTGAGTGCCATGCTGGCAAACCAGGTGCCAGCTCAGGTCAGAACCCCAAACCAATTCACTTGTGTGTTAGTATAGATCAAAGAGTTAAATATATAAGTGTGTATTCAGATGTTTAAGCATCATTAAAACTAGTGTAATGTAACTTGTATTGTTTTCACGTATCTGTTCCTGTTATAATGTAACAGCAAATATTTACATGATGTATACCTGCTTGACTAAATAACCCATCAAATAAATCTTGTGGAATGCTAATGAAGAACTTCAGGGCTTTAACAGAAA